TATAATGTCAAATTCTACGAAGCTTATTGTTTGTTTAATATTTCAATTTTGGAAATTCTTTCGTTTCTATAAATATTTTTAAAATTATAAAGTTGTGAAAGTAGTTTTTCACACTTTATGAACATTATAAAAATTATTTAAAAAAATAAACCGAAATATTTGTAGTAATTTTGAAATTATATGGCACATTTAGGTCATTTATGGGCTTTAAATAAGTTTATTTAATAATATTCAAGAGAGTACGACAAACTTCATTTGTCCTACAAACTCACTAAGTAAATATGTTTGGAGAATAACAAAATATTAACTTAAAAGTTAAAATAAACATGTGAAAAATGAAAATGCACAATGGCTATGTCAATTAAGAAGTAACTTTATAGGATTTCCAACTAGATCTTATAAAAAAAAAAGTAGATTGCAAAGAATCCAAATACACTATAATTATTAAAATACGAAGTGCTTTTCTTGAATGAAGGCATATCCATTCTTTAATTAGTTTTTTTTTTCTCCTTTCAAAATTAATTAATTATCTAACACGTGCCGTTAAAATAAATTATTGATTTTGTCTTAAAGTCTTATAATTTTTTTAGTTAAATCAAATAAAATTATCATATAGATAGTCTCTTACTCTCTTAAGTGATGGGTGATCAAAATTTTCCCTTAATCAAGAAAAAAGGGTTGATTTGGATAAGGTTAAGTAAAAATCTAGCCAAGTCCAAATTGAGTCCTTTGGGTGTTTGAAGATTTGTGTAGATTATGTGCGCTAAATGCCTAATAGATGTCCTATCAATCATGTGGTGTAATTGTCGACATTAAGACAATTTAATTAAGATGTATAATTCTTCAAATAGTAATAATGTACTTTGGATCGTGACATTTGCTTCACATTTTAATACATGATTGATGGAGAAAACACAAAAGGGCCATATTTAGTTGCCCACCAAATCTTGTCCTCTGAAATTGAATTATGGATGAGAAATGAAAATGGCATTAAAAGAATATAGATAAGTATAACAAGATAGATATGAAAATTTGATGATGAGGAATGTTGATCTCAAAAATAAAAATTATTTTTTTCGACACTATTTTATTCAAAAGGGCACTTCAATCAAAGAATGTTAAGATTTTCAAGAGTGTGACAAGTTTTGCTTTGATTCGAGGTGACTTTTTAGAGAGTAGAAGATTGGATATTTGACTTTCAATTTATATATTTCTTGCCTTTTGATTTTAAGGGCTTTTTGACCATTTTTATGAGTTGAAACATTTTTATCATTATGTTGAACGTCATGATTAAGTTCAAGATCTTGTATTCTCATTAAGATTTGTGCGTTCATGACGATTGTCATGTAATTCATTATGTGCATCTATGATTTTGCTGCACTGAAGTCCGTGTTGATTTAATTGTGTCATGATTTGCACCTAAGTGATTGAGGATCTGCACCCTTTGACAAGGAGAGTCTCGTGGTTAAAGCGCATTTTTTGTTTCACAAGCTTCGTAAACCAAGGTGCAAATATTCATTTTTTGACACGTGAACATACAGATGGAGAACCTTTGTAGCCGACATAATTTCAAGCAAACAATAATTACTTCAACAAGTAACAAAAAATACAACTCGTTTAAAATAGTGATTCATTTTATTGTATGATATAACAATAACAAATTTTTAAGGCCTTTGATACTATAGAGGCCTCAAGTCGTGCTTGACATTTATTATGTGACTATAAAGATAGACCATTTGTATCTATATGCATCAGGATCTCGATTCATGGATTTCTCAATTCGAGAAATCAAGATAAGAGGATCGAATAGAATAAGTCGGATGTTGAGTCGCTTAGTGATGGATCTAGTAATGTACCTGTTTACAGGAAAAGCCCCGGGATTGGTCTTTCGTAACTTCCCAATTTTGGAAATAATAAGAATTATCTAGGATTCTTCGAGGGATCCTATCCTCCTTAGTAAGGCAATTCGAGGTGCCTTGGGCCTCCTTAATTCAACACAAAGTTGAGATGGAAATACTTGTCGTTTATTGATAAATTCCACACATTAAATAGCCTAGTGGCTTACAATTCAAAGAGAAATAAATAAATAAAGGCAAGTGTATAATTTCTACGGGATTACAGCTCTTTCTATCACAAGAATCCTTATTCAATTCAATTGGTAAATTGCAATAATAACTTCAGCCCAATTTGTAGCTTTCCTTAATATTTCAGTTTCCCATTTGAAATGGAAACGGCTACTATGCCTCCTTTCATCCAGAAATTGAGTTTCCCTGAAATTTGCCTTGCCTAAATTGCTGCCTTGTGTCACTCGCCAGATTTGTCGCTAACATCGGACTAACAACGTGTATAGTTTTTGATGGGCAAAGCCAAGCTAGTCTATCAAGATTTGGAGACTGTTCAATTCACGTCGACGCCCACAAAAATAAAAATAAAAAGGAGAAACTGATTTGTCAATCTTATAAGGGGGCATTTCTATATCTTTTACCCAACTTTTAACAGGGTCCTTTTTTGTTTTATAAAATCCGCTTTGTTTTGTGATAAAGAGTTGCACTTTAAGAGAAAGGTTGAATTTCTCGTTGGGATCCTTTAAGAGATAATTAGGATGATGAGGTTCAAGTGAGAGAGGAGGAGAGGCAAGGGGATCAACTCAAACTCGTGTGTACTCGTAGGACCTACTTATCTGATTGCAGCTTTGTTTACTTTAAGGTTATTTGTGTGTTGTTACATTTAGGATGATGGTATTTAAATCTCTTAGTTCATACATTCCTCCAATTGATCAATTACATTCGAGTTGATCCACAATTTCTACCAATCAACTCCAACTTAACTTCAAAAATAACTTTTCCACGTCAACTGCATCAAAATTAATAATTTTATATATCTTGGCTCGTAATTATAATAGTATCAATATCAATTCATTATATTTCGTTACTTCATAAGGAAAATTTCTTGCTTTTTTACAGATTGTGCACGTGTCAATGTTGATACAAACAATGAATCAAGCCTACACACTGGGAGACGAGTTGAACAAATTCCTTTTCTCTAACAACTAAAACTTTTTAAACGAGGGTTCAACACATTAATATCTTCTCTCTCTCTCTCTCTCTCTCTCTGTGGGACATTTTTTAAGTTAAAGCAGCAGAGAAGCCAACCCATTCTCTTGGTGTTGGAGCTCAATGTTGTGGAATCACAAGACAGGTCAAAAGACACACAACCCACCTCAATAATAAACTAATCGCGCAAGATAATGTAATCAACTCAGACTTTTCTTCTTTCCCATTAATCATAATTAAGCCACAATTAAGCAGTATAAAAGTTCAGCACTATACTGTAATCTTAATAAATCTTGCATGTATAATCACTGATTTTAAGTTCCAAAACATGAAATTTTCTAGCCTTTTTCTTGCTTCACTTGTGTTTTTGCTGCTGCATTTTCTATTGGTTAGTCAAGGTGGAAATAGCCATGAGCTTACAGATGAACTGTCAACAGTGAATTCTGGGAAGCTGAACTTGGTAAGCATTAATTTTCACACACTGCACACAGTTATATATGTATGTAAATATAGCTTATGTGTGAGGTTGATGCAGGGAAAAGGCAAATGTGACAAAGAGAATGCTGCGTGCAAAGAGGATTCACAAGAAAATGTTTTTGAGAATGAAGATTACATTTACACTCAGTCGCTGCCTTAGTACCATAACTTCTGTATTTTCAGATAATCTTTCTTTTTAATATCTTCTGCTAGATGTTTTTGATAAATTCTAATTATTAGCTCTCCATTCATTGAATGCTTGTGTTATTTTAACTTTCAAGAGCCCGTTTGGTAGGGCTTTTGCTTTTAACTTTTTGTAAAATAGCTTTCTGAATAAATTACGCTAAGTTGGCTTTCGCTAAAAGTTTTTTTAAATAGAGAAGTACTTCCAAAAAATGATCCAAACATGTAAAAAAAAAAATAATAATAACTTCTTAATATCAGTAGCTACTTTCAAAAGCCCGCCAACACAGCCCTAAATCTTGATTTTTCCACGTCAAATATCATTTCTCATCCTTCCATATTCAAACTCGACTTATTGCTATTGATTCGATGATACCTATAAAGTTAAATAATTATTCGGTAATAAACATGTCGGATTCATTTTTTCCCCCTTCAACGGGGCCTCCTGTTGTTGTTTTACTAGCTAACTCTCATATCCTTCAAGAAGGTTCAAAATACCTTTTTATTTAATTCACGAACTTGTAGCAAAGTCCCAAATCTTGATCAACTTAATAAATAATAGACTGATGTGAAGTATTGTGCACAGATTGGCTAAACATGTGAGGGTAAATATAAAAAAACTTGTGGAATCTGATGACCCTCCAACATACTCTTAGTATATATGCTGTAATTAATGGAGATAATTATTTTAAGTGANAAAAAAACTTGTGGAATCTGATGACCCTCCAACATACTCTTAGTATATATGCTGTAATTAATGGAGATAATTATTTTAAGTGATATTTCTTCTTAATATTGAGATTTAGCTGGCTAATCTAGCTTCGAAATCTAGAATGTTGGCCTGGTCAACTTTAATAATTTAAATAAATCTCGTATTTGTCATCTTGATTAATTAGTGTTTCATTGTGAATTCAAATTAAGGCACGTTTGGCAAGCTTTTGAAATGTCAACAAATGATTATGAGATTAAAATTCTGTTCGGATAAAACTTTTAAAGAAACCTGACCTAAAGGTAGCTTCCCTGTGAGCTTTTCTATAAAAAGCAAAAGCAAAAGTCCGAGTCCGAATTTTTCATCTGAACCTGTATTTAGTACTTCAACATTGATGAATATAACTCAAATTCAGCAAAAGGCCTAAAGAGAACTTCAATTCATCGCATCTTTTTGGTGACAGAATTCAGATTCCAACTCATATGCCATATGACAAGATGGGCACTGAATATGACAGGCATCATAAATAGTTAACGTTTAAGGGAGAGAGATTCCATTGCAAATAAAAAACTGTATAGAAAGGACATTCAAGTCGACATCTCATTTATTTTCCACAAGAAATATGTTTTTACACTACTGCAAAAATTTTAACATATTTTATATATTATACATGGTTTTTTGGTTCCTCAATCTAAGATAATGGTGAACTTCTTAAATCAATTCCAGTTACTACTACTGCACTTTACAACAATATATCTACATATGATACTACAGGCAGATAAGCAATCAGCTCGCCAGTAAAAACTCGAGCTTCCACGGACTTGGGGGAAAATTCTTGTTAGTTTCATGGTTACTGAGCAAAATAAATTAGCTAATCTAACGGAAAACTGACTTTGAATTGCGAGCTCTTATGTCGTAATCAGATGCACAGCAGCGTCTTCATACTCGAAGAATAGAGTCCCCGGGGGACAAAGGTTCTGGAAAAACATCAAGTATCTGCCTTCAGATCTTGCTCTCTCTAATATAATTGGAAGAGAATAGCTTCTTCCTGTAAGTAAATTTCGACTCTGAATCTGTACCAGAATTAATAAAGTCTTACGAGCATGAAACAAAGAATAGCAGAAAATGCATGTAATCTCTTCTGAAAAATCCAAATGTCTAAAATAGCAACTAAAGCAAAAATTACTCACCATATTCCTAAGCAGTTCCAGTGATCAGCCTCTCTCTTTGATCTAATTTCTTAACCTTGAAAATACCAATCAAAACTTGGAACCCAAAAAATGCAAAGAAGGTGTACGCAATCATTGCAGGTGTCTGAAAACAGAAAACAAGTCTTTAAGTTAAACACAATAATAGACCACAATGAACAATTGAATTAACAAAATGTGCAATGAATGGGAGACTAACCCAGATGGAGTGCAAGTATAGAATCGTTGCAAGGTTAACTAAGCTTCCAGCAGCAACTGCCTGTTAATTTTTGGTCCAAAATAATGCAGGAAAATGAAGTCACCAAGCTGGGAACTAGCAATTGTTTATTTGGACAATAATTTTCTACAATATAGAGCTTCTTCTCCTATAGCATAAAAATTGCAAGAATTAAATTCCCTATGAAAGACCAACCATAGAATCACCTTACTAGTGTAAGGAATATAAGATTTCCAGATGAACTTGAACAGAGACACAGATGGTGTAGTTCGGCAAATCAAAAATTATGAAAGAATGACTTGCAAGAAAAAGAGCACTAGGAACCAAACATCCACAACCTTCTGTCCCCTCGAGAAGGTTTCAAATGAGCATTCTCAAGAATTCACTAAAAAGGGGACGAATATAAAATCTCACTATCACTCAAAATGTGTCAGAATTGGAGTGATAGTACTTGAAGACGAGGAATACACAAGCTATTTTTATGCAATAGTCCAGTAACTACAAAGCCAACTTGATATCAATTGCCAGATAGGTACAGACAAGGGTCTGTTGAGTTTTAACTCGTATGAAGCTAACTTACACTTCCAACTGTATTTTGAACAGCTGCAACACGTTGAAAAGCTCTCTCAGACTCCAAAGTCCGAACACGAAGCTTCAATTCACCTTGCTCCTATAAACAAGACGTGATAAAGATCAGTTTAAATTTTACGGCTTGCGAATTTTGGAAATTGTCTAAGAATTATCAAAACTAACATGTTACTTACCAGTCGCTGGATGACTTCAGCAAGCTTTTCAACTCTATCAGCCTGCCTAAATAAATTATAAAATGCACGGGACTGTCTATCCCATCTCTTCCTGAAGTCCTGAATATGAGTGAGACTGAGTAGCAGTAAAACTTGCCTTATTATCACATCTTGCAATGATCTATTAGGACATTAAAAGGTCTTGAGAATTTACCTTCACAACAACTTCAATACCAGCTTCACGAAATTTCAATAATTCTAGAGCATAGCTGCATTACATTGTGCATGAAGTAAATGTAAGCAAAACAAAGATAAAAAAATCATTGGAATTCAATACTTTACTTATTGGACGCCTTCATGTTTTAAAATACACATACGGTTTAGCAATCTCAGTAATATCAAATCGAGGATTGAGGCCCTTCCCAATGCCATCCAAAACTGTCAACATAAACTTAGTTAAATAACAGTAGTAGCAAAATATGGCAGTTAAGTAGCTAAAGTACAGTACCTGAAAATGCCCTAACAACAAAAGTGAAAGTAGCAGGAAAGCGGAAGGGTTGATCTGCTGCAATGGCCAACAGATCTTCACCTGTCAAAAGGATACGGCATCTATAAGCAGTAATTCCATTTTTATTTTATTTTATTTTATTTATTTATTTACTTTTTGGGAAGCAAAGACAGCTTAAAAAGTAGAGGCCGATTGCTATTCATCCAATGTCTTGGAGAGATGAAAGGGACTAACATTATGACTAAATGAAATGGGAAGAAGGAAGATCCACTAATTAAAGACCAAAAACTCAAATACAGACATGAAATACTTAATCAAAAAGAGTTTGAATGCAAAAGCCACTAATAGATTAATAGAAACAAACTAATCTGTTAGAAATCAAAATTAATACACATATTATAACCTCAATGCTGTATAAAATAGTTAATTTCCACTTCAGTTGAGAAAAAAGTACCAGGAGGACATAAAAGTGTAATTCATAGAAGAAATCCAAATCCTACCTCTCAATAAGTGTGACATGACATGATTCTAGAAATTGAAAAATCTATACTCTTGCCTAACTAAACATGAGACGAGACTAGTTTACCAATTGCCGCTAAACGTTGTTTCTTTTTTTCTATTTTTTCCTCCTTGCTTAAAGGCTTCTTGAATCCAAGTTCTGCTGCAGTTGCCATCTCTCTTTCTCTTCTTTGTGCTGCAAGCCGCTCTTCAAAGCTGCGCCAGTTTACCTTTAGTGCAATGCATGAAGTGGAATACAAAATATAGAGAAACTCAAGATCCATACTATTGTCTAGCTCAAGTAAACAAAACTTAGACTTATTTGACAATTTCTTTGCAGATAGAGTACAGGTCTTTTCCAACAGGACAGTGTTCAGAAATGTAGAAAACAACAGAACCTATTTCTACTTTTAAAAAAAAGGTTGTTAAAAAAATTCAAAAGAAATCATCATTAAGAAAAAACTTTCACGGAATGTAATTTCCTTATGTTATTAACATAGATATTATTAACATAGCTCTTCTCATAAGGAGGAACTATCCAACATAATTAGGGTTCTCTCACTGAACCATCTATTGGAATATAATGAATAGTTTCCTCAAACTGAGCAAGAGTGAGGCAGAACCTCAACTGTAAGATTTATATTCAATAAACTTTCAGCATCCTTAAAAATGAATATCTAAGAAACCATGAATCACAAATTATCTGCATGGTTATAGCCATCAAAAGTGACACTCTGATTTGTAAACAATGTACACAAATTACTACTCCCCCTTATAACCAACTTTTGAGGACACTATATTTGAAAAAAGTAATAACAACGAACAAAGGACTCCAAAAATGATGAATGGCAAGATAATAGGGATTGCTAAAAGAACAGTTCAACGAAAAGCCAACTATATCATAACACCATGGAAGCCCTTTCTGTGGTTAGATTTCATTCACTCATCACAAACCTTATCCAAAAATCAATTTAAATAATCAAAATATATAAGTTGGCAAAGATGCACTTACTACTGATCAAAAAGTTTAAAAGACACGAGTCATGTTAGTTCCGTAATGGAAAATTGGGTAGGATATACGTCTTAGAATG